TGGGACGCGACCCGCAGTCGACTACATGAGAGTCCAGTGACATAGCCATTACACTAACTGCTGGTCCCTTAATTGTATTTATAACTATTATTTTTTAAAATTTGCTATTGGGCACATGTGCTCACCAGAGAGACAGAGAGGCAGAGAGAGAGAGAGAATGAGAGTGAGACAGAGAAAGTGAAAAAGCAAGCTGCCAGGTCCAGGACTTGAACTACAGTCTGTCATATGGGAGTCCAGCATCTTAACCACCACACCATTCGCTAGCCTTTGCTATTTGTTTTTAATTTATTTTTTTAAGGTTTATAACACAGAGTATGTGCAATCACCAGAGAGAAAAAAAGAGAGAGGGAAAGTGAGAAATCACCCTGCCAGGGGGATGGCTACACCACAGTCACTTCACCTCCACTCTTCTGGGATTTTGGAACACACGCACATTGCTTAAGCTGCCAGGTCTGGAACTCAAACTATAGTCCACCATGTGGGAATCCAACGCCTTAACCACAACACCATCTGTGGTCCCAATGCTAGCTATTATTATGTATCAAGAGTTGGCTCTTGGGCAGATCTAGGTTTGGTGGAAGCTTGTTGAGCTTCCTCCATGCCTTAGCTGACCTGTCCCTGTCACACCTCGCCCTAGGCATAACCTCCATGCAGGGAGCCAATCGTTCAGCGGTGACTGAATTCATCCTCATCGGCTTCTCCACCTTCCCCCACCTTCAGTTTTTGCGCCCTCTCCATCTCCGAGATCCTCTACACCTTCGCCATCATCCCGCGCATGCTCGCTGACCTGCTGTCCACCCACCGCTCCATCGCCTTCCTGGCCTGTGCCAGCCAGATGTTCTTCTCCTTCACCTTTGGCTTCACCCACTCCTTCCTGCTCACCGTCATGGGCTACGACCGCTACGTGGCCATCTGCCACCCCCTGCGCTACAACGTGCTCATGAGTCCCCGGGGCTGTGCCTGCCTGGTGGGCTGGTCCTGGGCTGGTGGCGCAGTCATGGGGATGGTGGTGACCACCGCCATTTTCCACCTCACCTTCTGTGGACCCAACAAGATCCACCATTTTGCTTGCCATGTCCCACCTCTGTTGAAGTTGGCCTGTGGAGATGATGTACCTGTGGTGGCCAAAGGTGTGGGCTTGGTGTGTATCACGGCCCTGCTGGGCTGCTGTGTCCTCATCCTCCTGTCCTATGCCTTCATTGTGGCCGCCATCTTGAAGATCCCATCAGCTGAGGGTCGGCACAAGGCCTTCTCCACTTGTGCGTCCCACCTCACCGTGGTGGTCGTGCACTATGGCTTCGCCTCTGTCATCTACCTCAAGCCCAAGGGTCCCCAGTCTATGGAAGGAGACACCTTGATGGGCATTACCTACACCGTCCTCACACCCTTCCTCAGCCCCATCATCTTCAGCCTCAGGAACAAGGAGCTAAAGAACGCCATCAAGAAGACCTTCTTCAACAAACTCTCCCCAGAAAAAATGTGACCATCTGGGAGGAAATTCTTAGGAGCCACAAAACTGGGTTACCAGATGCTAGTGTTAGAAATGAGACTCCATAGGGGCCAGCAGGTGGCTTGGAGATTAGAGCAGCTGGATCCCACTTGGCTGACTTTATGGTTCAAGTCCTGCACCCAGTGGTTTGAAAATCACACCGGGTGCAAGTGTGTGTGTGCCCCAAATCAAGAGGAGAATGGAGGAAAAGGGTTTGTAGTGTGACCATCCCCTGGATGTGATTTCTCTCTCTCTCACTCTGGCAAGCACATTTACCCTAAAAAAATAAAAAAAGTACTCCTTGAACATGTAATAACCTATAGTTTTCTGATGCTTTAAGGTCTCCAATGACCCTCATAGATGACATCCATGTGTACATACAAGGGTTAATCAACATCATGGATGGATTTGGGGGTGGAAGATTGTGTGAACTGATACCACAGAGAAAATCAGATTTGGTGATTTCTGGGCCAGCAGGTGGCATAGTGGTTAAGGCGCTGGACTCCTACATGTCCGAAATCCCCAGAGGAGAATGGAGGAGAAAGGGATTGCAGCATCACCATTCTCTTTCTGTCTCTCTGTCTCTCTCTGTCTCTCTAGCAAGCATACATGCCTTACAGCAAAAATATCTCTCCAAAAAATAAAAAAGGATTGATGGGACTAGCATAATAATAATAATATTTATGGGGCCGGCAGGTGGTGTGGTGGTTGGGGCACTGGACTCCCACATGGGTGACCATGGTTTGAGACCCAGACTCGGCAGCTTGTTTTCTCACTTTCTCCTCTCTCTCTGCCTCTCTCTGGTCAAATTGAAAAATAATAATAATAAATCAAACTAAATTAAAAAAGAATTCTTAAAAACAAAAAAAAGTAGGGACCAGCACTTAGTGTAATGACTATGTCACTGGACTCCCACATAGTCAACTGTGGTTCAAGTCCTGGGCCTGGTGGCTTAAATTCACGCCAGGTGTGTTTGCGTGCATGCCCAAGATCCTGAGAGGAGAATGGAGAAGGGATTGCGGTGTGGCTATCCCCCCTGGGGGGTGATTTCTTGCTTCTGTCTCTCTGTCTCTCTCTGTCTTTCTGGCGAGTACACGCGCCCTATAGCAAAAACCTCTCCAAAAAAAAAAAAGAAAGAAAGGAAAATGTGATTATTAGACAATAACCACACAAATTAAGACAGGAAACATTGTAAGGAAAGCTCTGAGGGAAAGGAAGAAGTGGCCATGAGAATTTGGAATAGGGGCACTGACCCAGAGTGGCAGCCTTCTTGGGAAGGTGACTCTTAGGCCAGACCTAAAGGAATTGTGGGAGTCGGCAGTGACAGGTGTTCCAAGGTGAGGTAAGAGCAGGTACAAGGCCGCTGAGGTCCAAGTGTGCTTGGTTTACTACAGGAATAGCAGGGATGCTGGTGTGGCTGGTGTGGCTGGTGAGCTGGGAGGGCTGAGGATGAGCTGGGGATGAGGCAGGGACCACCACGTGGCCTCAGGAGTCGCACTAGAGTTTATATGACAACCTAAGAGAAATGGAAGAGGAGGTTTTTCCCTCTGGGGCCAGCAGGTGGCGTGGTGGTTAAGGTGTTGGGCTCCTACATGGCTGACCATGGTTTGAGTCCTGGCTTTCTCACTTTCTCACTTTCCCTCTCTCTCTCTCTCTCTCTCTCTCTGGTGAGCGCACATGTCCTGTGGAAGTTTTTTTTTTT